TGCAAACAGTTCACACGAAGGAGTTTCTCAAGCCTATTGTATCCCACATTTGGTCAACATGTGCGGAAAACTTTGTGTAATCAATTTCGTACGTTTGACTGCGAGAGAGAAGAGAAGAGAGATACATGGGAGAGTGTATGGCTGGCAACTGGTCAGGCCCGACCCTAGCCTCCATAGGGCCAGCCTAAGTCATACAAGCCCGACCTAGCCCTAGGTAACTATAACAAAAGAAAAACCAAAAGAATCGAATAAGGACAAGGGGCATGGATGGACCGAACTTCACCGGCCTATCATGGCCATGGCCTAGGTCCAAATCAGCCCACCCTCGGGCCAAATTTTGTGCTCCTAGCCCTAACTTTTCAAGGTCGGTCTGGCTCAAGCCTACTGGTTCATTACTAGTTCTAGGGGAGCGTTGAGCAAGGGTTTAGAGATCAGAGAGAGAGAGAGACATTGTTTGCATGTAAGGCCCGGCCCAGCCTAGTTGTCCTGGCATTTAAAAACAAGGATCTGAGCCAAAAAAAGTGACCCGAGAGCTGGGCCGGGCTGAGCCTAGGCCAAGGTCCCTTCGGCCAAGTGGGGGCCAGCCCTATACGAACCCAGGCCCAAGCCAGCCCATTGCTAGCACTACTTATGTGAAGGTGAGAGAGAGAGGCGAGGGTCATGTTCAGGCAGACCTGTCAAATATTTGAGGGGATATTAATGTCAAAAATTGGGTCTGCTACGAATTGGTTTCACAAAAAGTTGCCACAACTATTGTGGCGAGGAGTTGTATTCATATGGAACATGCTACTCTGTGCTAAAACTTTTCATATGTGATGTGTTTTTGGGTATTTTGTGCAAACCAAACATGTGTAATGTAGGCTTCATCTGAAAACAGTTACATGGTGACTGCTTTCACACAAACCAAACACACGCTTCTGCTTTCACACAACCCAAATATACCCTTAATGAGATCCTATGTCAGAAAAGGAACGTATATTAGATGTTCGAAAGATCTTTTTCTGATTGGGTAGGTCCTTCTAGCAAACTCTTCTCCAAAACTTTTTGCCATCGAAGAAGAACCCAAATCCTATATTACTAATATGTATGAAGGGGCTTCCAAGGAATCTCAAAGACCATGCGGCCCAAAACTACTAAAAATCACATCATTTGGTACCCTCACAGTAAAGGAGTTTTAACAGTATTTGGGATCCAAACATACAGCAAAACATTGTGTCATGGGCTTTTAAAGGCGCCACCTCGTGCCTAAGCCTTTGCTCCGCTTGCCATTCTTGACATGCAGCTTACCATAGATCATATGCAACATAGGGGTTTACAAATCCCTAGAACATGTATCATGTGCCAAACCCACAAAGAAATGGTTGATCACCTCCTCCTACTTTATGATACTGTAAGGGAGGTTAAGGCACAATTTTTGGAACTCTTTGCGCTCTCTTGGATAACACTGGATACTGTAGATGCCCTATTCAAAGAATGGGTTTTCCAACCCTTTCCTTTAAGATAACAAATTCCATGGAGACTATGCATGGCTGCTATTTGTTGGACTTTGTGAACAGATAGAAACAAAAGGAAAATTGAAAGTAGTACCTCAACACCTCTAAGATCGTAGAATGTACAACAGCTCAACGCATAACATGGACACTCACCAGAAAGGAATCATGAGGTATCTCAACATCATACCTTACAAACCAGTGGCACTCCCTGATTTGAATTATAAGAACAAGACAAACTAGAACAAGCGATTGGGTACCCTCTCAAAAAGCTATCACCAGACTTAATTTTGATGGTCGCTCAACAAGAAACCCAGGCCATCCTAGTATTGGTAGAGTATTTTGAAACCATATGGGAGAGTCTACAATCACATGCTAAGGATTACTGAATCGACTGACTCCAATGAAAGTAACATCATCATATTGCTCTTATCCAAGGTGACAAGAAATCATTGGGGAGGTTGACAGCCAATGTTATCTCATGGCAAGGGAAGAAACACCGATCTTGTTGGGATGGCTCACTACTTTGAGGAATAGTTTGACAGATGTATAAGCTTACAAGCAACGTTCTAGCATAACTGGAGAGAAGTAAAAGAGAGAATCTATAGGCTAGAAATGTTTAAAACGCATTTGCCCTTATAGTTTCAGGGTTTTTATTGATCATGTTGCTCCGAGCTTTGTCTTGACAATGACAACATTTTTGTACATGTCAGTTTTTTATTTTGCAATAGAGTTAAACTATCAATCAAAAATATGCAATAGCACTACCTTCTCTCTCTATATCATACAAAACCCCACTTTCTCTCACAATCTCCCCTACCTCCTCTCTTTACATCATATAAAACCCCACTTTCTCTCACAATCTCCCCCTACCTTCTCTCTCTATATCATATAAAACCCCACTTTCTCTCACAATCTCACAACTAGCAAAGCTTGTGAGAAATTTCCTAACTGCAAATAGTTGTTTTACGTCATTCTAAACAAATCCTTGAACTTTTTTAACTGCCCAAATGATGATATTGCTATTAGCTGTCATGCATTTTACATGTTTGCATACACCCATAGGTTCCTTCAGATATTCACTATCACAATTTAGAATATTGTTGCGAGGTTCACTACTTTGATGAATGTTTTGACAGATCTATACGCTTACAAGAAACCTTTGAGCGTAACAGGAGAGAAACAAAAGAGGGAATCTATAGGCTAGAATTGTTCGCAACGCATTTTCCCTTAGGTGCGGTTTGGATACCTGGAAATATAGTCTGTGAAATATATTACGTGGGTAATACATTACCTACAAATGGATTGTCACTGTTTGAGCAGTATTTAGATGCAACTTGAGAAATACATTGCTATTGTCTGGCTATCTGAAAGAAATATCTAACATGATTAGACTTTAGTTTCAACATGATAAGTCATTGGAATAATATGATTGGAATAACATGATTTTATTGTGATAAACCTTATTTTTATTTATTTTGTATAGAAGCCTTTCAAATGCCTCTATATATAATTTCAAATAAACAATAAATTTATGATACCAAAATCAAAATCTTTATGACACAAGTTAAAAAATGGGAAGAAGTTTGATTAGTAAACTAGAAGTTTTGGTAATTGCAGTATAAAATTTTGAAGCATTGGAGGAGACTAAAGAGGTTATCTTATTTCAATTGAGCTTTTACTAATCTCTTATGAGGATTATGTTGTGTGAAATTTTTTATTATGATTGTGTTGCGTAATTTCTCATCGATTACAAATTTTTTTTTTTTTTATACGAGAGCTGATGGTGGGCTACAACCCAAATTTGGGATAGAGGGACCTAGAAAAAATTTTATTATGATTGCAGTAGAAAATTGTCCCTCATCAAAGTCTACAACTATTCAAATCAATTTAGATTTCGCCTAAGTTTCACTTACCAAATATTAAAAAATTTTGTTTTCATATGAGAGTCAGATGAGGGCAACAACCCAAATTGGGGATAGAGGGATGCAGAATTTTTTTATTATGATTGCAGTAGAAAATTGTCCTCGTACATATGTTCAAATCAATTTAGATTCCCCTTTTCATATCCCCTACTTTCACTTTCTACTTACTTTAATAATTATACAATACAACGTATACTTGAGAGAGAGAAATGTTATTTTAAGTAGGGATAGGGCAAAGAGACGCACGCGAAAGATTTCCAAAGATTATCCATCAACCTCGTAATAGATTTTTCACTCCTTACCGCGCGCAAAGGATTTTCTAAATCTCGGGTAATCTCGCGTAATGTCTTTTCATTTCCTTACTATTAAAGTGTACCCGAACAGTGTAAATGTCACATTTCTTTATAATCTATTGTCACGTAATAGATTTCCACATACCCAAATGGCCCATTATAGTTTCGATTTTTTCATACATTATGTTGTTCCGATCTTGGTTTTGACAATGACAACATTTTTGTACATGTCAATTTTTTATTTTGCAATAGAGTTAAAATATCAATTAAAAATATGCAAGAGCTCTACCTTCTCTCTAAATATATCATATAAAACCCCATTTTGTTTCCCAATCTCCCCTTACCTCCTCTCTCTATATCATATAGAACCCCACTTTGTCCCACAATCTCCCCCTACCTTCTCTGTCTATCTCATATAAACCACTATCTCTGACAATCTGACAAATAACAAAGCTTCTGAGAAATTTACTTACTGCACATAGTCGTTCTACGTCAGTCTAAACAAATCCTTGACCGTTTTGAACTGACCACATGCTGATATTCTTACTAGTTGTCATGCATTTTACATGTTTACGTTCCTTCAGATATTCACTATCACAATTTAGAGAAACAAGTTGAAGGCTATTTGTTATTCTTTGAAATTCAAGGAAATTAGAAATTTACCTCTCCTTGTTGCATTTTAGCAACATCAAACAGGTGAACCAATACATTCCTTTATTTATTTAATGTTGCAGACACCCAGTACACAATATAAAGTAGAATCTCATAGATCTCATCAAATTCCAAAGAAAAAAAAAAAACATAAGTTCCATAATCTGCAAATCCATCAAAGAACTTAATTTGATAGTGGAATCTAATCTTACACCACAAAAAATATTTAAACATCCTTTATTCATGCATAAAAAATATAATGAATTCCTAAAACTCTTACACAAACACGCATGCACTTCAAAAGGTAAAACTTCAGGAAGAAAATTACTCCCAAGTGAATACATTAGAAACAATGCACAAAAGAAGAAGGTGATGAAGAAGAAAACCATAATAATAAGAAATCTAAATCAAATCAATGAAATCCAACAATCAAGTAGAAGTCAATTGATGCATAATAAATTCCTATAGAATGACTGAAAAAATCCCCAACAATCAAGTAAAAAGCAAGAGAGAGATGAAAATCATGACAAAGCAGGGAGATTCGAAACATGGTGCAATTCAATAGGCAAAAGAAAGAAATAAACTTATACGAGCAAAGCAAAGAGAGAAAACAAGAACGAAAAAGAGATCAGATAACCTACCGAGAGTCTTGTAGCTTAGCAGTGGACTTTTTCTCGACGCCAAGGACAATGTTGTCGGTGCCCCTAACACCTACCACAGCGTTTCCCTTGCGGACAGCTTCTAGGGCATACTCCACCTGAAACAGATGCCCATCCGGGGAGAATACAGTGATCGCACGATCATATCTAGCCATACTTCCTCTTTCTTTCTCTCTCTATCACTCTCTGGAGAAATTAAAAAAAAAAAATTATTAACCCTTAAATTTCTTTTTTCAAGAAAAAAAAATACCCAATATTATTTTGTAAGGAAAAGTATACAAATAGGCATTTATCTTTTGTACAAGAAGGTCACAATCATTCTTAACCCTTAAATTTCAAAATAGGTGATTGTAAGAGTGTCAGTGAACAGGCACAAAGTTCCCAAAAAATTCTTAGACTTCATAGCTTGCCCCAATCCACCCAATTTGACACCTAATAAGTGGGAATAGGTGTGACCTTGTAATAAAAATAAATGATCTCCTTGTAGATCATCTCTATTTTTAAAATGGGATTGTACGACCATTTATCTTTGTTTCAAGGTCATAATTACTACTAGCCATTGTCAAATTGGATGGCTTGAGATATGTCACAAAGTCCAATACTTTTTCTAAAACTTCTTTTTTTTATACTTTAGTGGGGATGACGAGCCCCTACCCGTTTTTTGAAATCGTTATATATTTTTTAATGCGTTAGGTGAGAATGGAAGCCTAAATCTTAGCTGGGGCACAAGTGGTGCTACCACCAACCCAACGCAACCCAACCCCATTCTCAGTTTTTTAAAACTTTGAGTCTAATTAATGACACACTTATGGCCAACCATTTTAAAATTTGACAGACCGAATGGGTTGTGACCTACTTGTACTAGCAATACTAGTGTTATGCACGTGATCTGATATACTTATAATTGAATAATTTTTCATTTTGAAATCACATTTTCAAGAAGGCATCATTCGATTATTAATTGTTTTTAATATAATCAAAATGATTAATTATTATTTTGTTAACTATTTTTGACAAATATTATTAATTGATATAAAAAATAAAAATTCCATTATTTATCACTAGATTTATATATTTATCACATACTATTATAATAGAATAAGCAATATTTACTTGAAATATTGATAATTAATTGATTTATATAATTATCTTGAATAGTTTATTATTATTGATGAGTGATACTACCAATTAATTGAGAAAAGGCTTACATGATGACCAGGATTCGTGTAGCCGACCCCAACTGAGTTGAGAAAAAGCTTAAATGATGATGATGATGATTATATAACTATAATAAATTAGAATAAGAAAAACATACTGCACATTTATGATAGCGATAAAAGTCCGTTCCAAAAAAAAAGAAACAAACAGGTTATATGTAATAATAGTTTTACCATTAATATCAAAACGAAATTTATGTTATACATAAAAAATTCCATCAAAAATAAATAAAATCCAAAATAACTATTGAATTCATAATTTGATGGGTTAAATTAAATAAAAGAAATAAATAGTAAATACTTACATGTGAATTTACAAAAATGAGACTTAAAAAAAAAAACAAGAGTTATACTTGATGTTTCATCTACAATTCACATTAGCAAATAATAGAAATATCATAATAAATGAAAGAAAAATCCTTAATTTTTTACTATAATAATTCAAAGGAACGCCCTGAATTTTTATTAAAATTTAATAGCCTGGTAGATAGGGATCTGAGCCACCAACCCAATAAAAAAACATACACATATAATTATATTGATGATAATTTATCCCTCTCACTCAAATTACTATTCCCATTTCTAGTTGTAATGGGAAATATGTGAGTTAAGGAAAGGAATATGTGCTAATCTCACCCCTAAATCTCTGCTTCACTCACTCTTTCCTATCTCCCGCAATCCCTTTTTCCTTAAATCTTTCCCTCTCTTATTCTTGAAATTAGGTTTTGATCAATATATATAAATTTGTATCACTCTTTTATTTATAATAAGGTTAATGCTTTTTGAATATGCCTCAATGGATTAATATTGGGAAAATTATAGATACCCCTAATTTTTGGTATTGTAGAGTGCTCAAAAAACCAAAGCCCCATTTGGTTAAAATTGCAACATCTATGCTGTACTGTACTGGTTTATTCTAGTCTACCCTAACAGAAACAGTATGGAGAAAAGCCATATCCTAAATTTAGAAGGTAAAAACAATGATGAGATCTGCAGTGAATCCGGACTATTCCATCCGAGTAGATTCTGCTATTTATAGCATATGTATTTGATGCATTCGAGGAACCTTGCTCAAAGACGTAAGAAGAAAAAGGGAACCTCAGTAACCAGATAAGAATTAGGGCTTGCAATAGAAGCAGCAAGAACTAATAGAAATGCTCAACTACTATGCCACTAGCACAGAAGAAGTAATGATCAAATCTGGAAGTTACATACTGATTTGGAAAGACACTGAACCAGATCAAATCAGCTATTGAATAGCTAAGATGATGAACAATTTCCAATAGGTGTAACTTTCAGACGATGGCTTTGAAATAAGGGTTTTTATGTATGCCATCAAAAACTTTTCAGAAAATTGGAATACTCTTTCAAAAAAGAACCAAATTAAGACCAAGTGACATTTTTTAGCATTACATACAAAAAATTAAAAAAAGCAGAATCAAGCAAAGAAGCATAGAAACGAAGAACTAATATTGGACCTTCATTTCCTATTCAAACCAGACAACCGTAGTGACTTAGAATCAAGCGAAAAGACAACTCAGTCAAAACTTTTAGGCTCGTCTATACGCTCCCCAAACCATGCATTGACACTATCAAGACCGCATTTGGGTCATGGCACATTCATTGTTGGAGCAGTACCTTTGGGGGGCCATTTAATAACCCAAGTAGGTGTCCACCCACCCACAAAATGCCGCTACTTTGTGAATTGTGATTGAGATGAAAACTAACAATAACAATGGGCATCCACCTCACAAATTTGCAGCTTCTATTAGTATGCCAATCACATGTTGATCAAAACATGATTCAAACTGAGGTTCAATCTCTTAGCATTACAAGTCACAAGCATACACCAACAGAAAAGCAACATTGACAAAAAGTAGCAACCTAGAGTTAAGGGAAAGAGCAACAAACATAACAGTGATAGGTGAACATTAAGAGAAGTGAATAAGGCAACAAGGATAAGCAATCCCATGCAACAAGCAGCAAAGCTTAAGCACGACTGAGTGTGCAAGAATTGTCAATATAGGCCTGAGGATAGCAGAAAAGGAAGCTTCAAGGGTGCACATTGCACACAAGCATGCGTATAGTAGCAAAATTCAAGGGTGCACATTGCACAGAAGCATGCGTATAGTAGCGAAATTTTTGGAAGTAGCAATATTCATAGAGCATTCGGACCAATGCCAAAGAATCCAATGTCAACTCCGAAACCATCCCCAGTAACTCCTAAACAGATAACCATTCAAACCATACAACTCTCAACGCATGTGAAATAGGAGGAAATTAAAAAAAAAAAAATTTCCAGTGCACTACATTCAGAAACAGAGACAGACAATGTTAAGAATCAAACTAAAAGCTCAAAAAGCTTCATCATGAGATTTTTTTTTTTTTTTTTTTTTTTTTTTTTGATACAAAGCTAAAAGTTTCACCAACCTGAATGCCTATCAGCAGTCGGAAAGGAAAACAAGGGAAAAGAAAAACCCCATCACTCCATCATTTCCATCTCTCCCACAGCCTTAATCTTCTCTATCATATCATTTGCCTCCTCCTTCGTACACCCTTGTTTCAGAAGAACAGGAGCCTTCTCAACTATTTCCCTGGCCTCCTTTAAGCCTAAATTAGTAAAAGCCCTAACCTCCTTGATCACCTTTATCTTGGATGAAGCATCAAATTTTCCAAGCTTAACATCAAGTGCAGTCTTCTCAACCTTCTTCTCCTCCACCTTTGCAGCTGAACCAGAAGCAGCAGGACTTGAAACCATGGCATCATAAGAAAGCTCTTGAATTTTAGGTGCCCTAAGCTTCTCCCTACGATAAGGGCCAACTTGCCTGAGCTCGTCAGGAGAGAAACTAGCGATTCGATCAGCTAAACTGATGACTTTATCGGAGGGAGGAGGTCTAGGCCCAAAGGGATCGTAGAAAGGGGGAAGCTTGTATTTCTTCGGCTTTGGCTTGGAAATAGGCCCTATTGTAGAGAGAGGGGATCTCCGATGATTGGGCTTTGGCCTGGCCTCTGCTCTAGAAAATGGCGAGAGAAAGTTGCAAAGGAAACCCTAGAGTGGAGCAATTGGAGCCTCATGGTGGAGATAGGGCAAATGATTCCAATTAAAAGGGATGGGATTAGAGAGTGATGAGAAGGGATGAAATGGCATGCAAATGCAGTGGAGGAATGCCAGAGTTGGCTTGAGAACACTAAAAAGGAGGAGGAGAAGGCTAGACAAGTTAAAAAACAGCAGTCGATGCAGGGCTAGGGTTTGGCCCAACTGGTTCGAGCACACAGCGATACGGAGAAATACAAACCAGGAAAACCACGAGGAATACCCAAAGTTCGGACGAATCCGTTTTAAAAACTCGGACAGGTGCGTACCAGTCTACAACTATTAAGTATGAATATGCCGAACCGGTCACTTCATCTCTAAGGGCATGTTTGATAACCGAAAGCAAGTTCATGAACTGTAAATTGGAAGTTTCTGAATAACCGTAAATTAGGGGCCCATTTGATAACTGGAAGCAAGTTCATGAACTGTAAATTGGAAGTTCTTGAAGAACTGTAAATTAGAAGTTACTTAAGAAGCTCCTGGTTTCTGTGTTTGATAACCTCCCTGGGAAGTTAAGAAGTTCCTGGCTTCTGTGTTTGATAACCTCCTGGGAAGTTAAGAAGTTTCTGGTTTGGTCCCAACCAATTATATTCATGAACCCATAAGCACTATTCATTAAAAATAGAAAGGTAACAAAAAGAGCATGATAGCTACAGCATTCATAATTGGAGCTAAGTAAAACTGAACAAACCCAAAAATAAAAAATAAAAAAAAGGTAAGTAAGATTATTCTCAATTCCAGTAAAATTCAGCATTTTATTCTCAAACCCACATCATAGTTGTGTTTCATAGAAAAAATATATCAGAGTTCATGAACCCACATCGTAGCTGTATATCAAAGCAATTTCAAAAAAAATATAGCAAAGCAACTTCAATAAATACTTGGAACAAACGAAACCATTGAGTGAAGAACACATTCAAGACTGAAAACAAGCAAGCTAGTAAGCAATAGCAACTAAACTTCACAGGTTTTCAGAAAATCATGAATTGTGACTAATGAGAATCATGAATTGTGACTAATGAGAATCAAAAGATAACTATGGGAGAGAATCGATAATTGTGAACAAAGTACCACAATGAATTTAAGTAATCATTGGAAGCTCAAAGTACAATCTAGTAACCAAGTTCTACAACAACGAGAATGCAAAACTGTTTAGCATTTGACCACAATTCAAAGATCAAAATGAGAATGCATTGACCACAATTCAACATGCTGAACTGTTTAGCATTTAGCATACAAAAGGTTCCCAAGGATGCAAAAAAGACAATGTTGGAAATGTACATGCTCAACCAGAAATATAACCACCCTGTACTATTGAACCATAAATAAAGCATAACAAAAGAGAGCATAATATTCTCAATAACTCAGCAATAATTTTCTAAAGGGCATTGAAAAGGTTAATGGATAAATTGAATTGTCATCCAAACAACATTCGAGCAATTTCTCAAATAAGGATGTGACATGGATTAGTTAAAATGAAATACAGAAAAAAATGACAAACAACATTTTAATTAGCCATGACAGTAAAGTTGATCACTTCAGAAATCAGTGTTCAATAAGAGCACTGAAACAAAATCCTCATTTATTATGAAACCGAAACCACCTTCCAATTTCCAAATTGGACTATGACTATTCCCAGAAACTAAAGTTTCTCGACAGAAGTCCTACAAAACTAAAACCACTAACACTCATTTGATGCGAATAATCTCTGAAAAATAGCATATGGGTGTCAAATTTCTTCTCTCTCTTGGTGTCATGGCATGGACAATAGTCCCTGTGCTTGGTATCACAGCACTCGAAGAAGTTGGGGATGGTGGTCTCATAGTCTGATATGTTTGGGAATGAAGGATCAGAGTGGTGGTGTTCAAAGTCCATAAAGGGTCCAGATTGGTGAAGAGTAAGGAGATCCAACTTTACCCCATTACCAAAACAATCTGCAGTTGAATTGGAGAATGAGTTTAGGAGAAGAGAATATGGTTTTTTGTGGAGATTTGAACCAAGCAAGTAGGAGAAGAGGTAGAGGAGAGAGATACAGGAAAATATGAATTACCCAAGCTAATCAAAACTACTTTTTTGACGGACTACCCGTGGTAATCTGAAAATCTGAACCCAGTAAGTCTTTTTTTTTCTAATCCTCTTTTTCAATAAACTATTTTTGGAGTGGCTTCTCTAAATAATATTTGATTTGGAGCTCCAAAAGATTTAAATCTTTTGCATTTGTCCCAAATTGAGTTTGAGGGTTGAGCATTCTTGGAGCTCTAATTCAATTTTTTCAATTTTTTATGGGATTGTTTCCATAATAAAAACAATATAACAAATTTTAAGGTTTGCATGAACTAGGGTGATGCGAATGTAGCAATCTCACAGTGAATCAAGCTAATCAAAATTACAGCAGTCTGGAATGAAGTATACAGATTCCAACAAGAACTCAAACTATCAAATGATTGTCCATCCATATTCTTATCATGCAGACAACCAACAAGCTCTCTAATATCTTATCATGCACACAACCAACAAGCACTCTAATACGGATAGATTGTCAGGGAACTTGATGTCAAGCACTCAAAACAATCAGTTAACCCTGAATCTAGATTTACAACATAGAAAAATCACGAAATAAAGCTTTTGCATTACCTTCGAACTCGATTTACAACATAGAAAACTATTAAACCAATTTAATAAAACATTCAACATAGGAAATTATACAAAAATAAGTAGATTTAACCCTAGAAATGCTTTTATATGGTTTCCTCCAAAAACACCCTCAGAACAATGTTGTTAACAGAGAAATCCGAAATTAGCAAGACAAAAAGAAAAAAAAAATGCAAAATCAACAGAGAACTCACTGAATGGAGGTACTTGTTGAGGCTGCAAGGCCGCGAATAGTACTGGGCGAGAGGCTGTCTTTACTGGGAAGAGAGAGCGAGATAACGTTCGCAGTGGAGCTGCTGTTTTGCTGAGCGGCTAATTGCGAAGACAGGGATGGTGAGCGGCTAAGTAAAGAAACCACGGGGCACAATTTTATCGGGGGAAGTTTTGATATAAACTTCGTTTTCAAGTTTCGACCTTTTCGTCGGTACTTTTTTTACATCATAAGCTGGGCCGGCACTTGCTTTACATATTATGCTCGGATAGGTAAGTTTTTTATTTACCTTATCTTTCTTTCTTTTTTTTTCCTAATTTACTTTACCGTTTTTTATCAAACACGTAAGATGATCAATAATACATAAGTACTACCTTTCAAAAAGTAACTTCTTATTATCAAACACGCTTTATAAAAGTTACTTTAGAAGTTTTTGGTTTATGATAACCTCCTTGAGAAGTTAAAAAGTTTCTGATTATATATTTCATAACCTCCTTAGAACTTAAAAAATTCCTTAGAACTTAAGAAATTCCTTGTTTATGAAGTCAAAAATACCTAATGATAATCATATAAACCAATGCCAACCCAACACTACAACATTATAATCAAAATTCTAATCATGTTTTAGCATTTCTTTATTGAACTAAAAGCCCATAGTTTCCGGGACGAAGCCATTTTCGGTTATAGAATGGTCTTATATTTGTGGGTCACAGGGGTTTTGATTAAAAAAAAAAAAAAATCAAATGACGAATAAAACTAAGTAATCCATATATTTGTACAAAGGAATAAATTCTTGTAAGAAATAAAAATTATATATATATATATTAAGCAACACAAGTACAATCAAATCGTATGAATTAAACATAGCAAATTTTTATGGACGGTCGATTGGGAGTTTAATTTAAGATACTCAAGAAATTTAATAGTAAAATCCATATCATAACAACACATTCACTCAACTGATAACAGATTTTTCTTTTACTCACCGATACCACCACTTGTGCTTGTAATCCAGAGAACCTAATCAATAGAAGAAAATCCAAGTATTAAAAAACTGTCCTCTCTCTCTCTCACT